AATGAAACAGAACTCACTCACCACCCATAGATATTTGAATTTTTTTCCTTTAAAGACTGTCACAATTTAGCCAAAACTTACTATACAGTTTATTAGAACTCTATTCTATACGAAAATCGACCTTTTATACTTCAAAAATTTAAGGAAAATATAAAATTTGCTACTTTATTACAAAATGACATCAAATTCCCATAGACTTACATTAGAGTGCTCGCCACCCAATTGATTGTAAACAAAGATCGTGACGTCACGCGCCCGTGCCCCATTAAGCTTGCAACTACTAATTGAGATTTTTTTAACATTTTATAGGAACTATTCTTGACTGCAGTGTACCATTTCATATTAGCGTGAAATGTTAAGCTTGTTGTAACTTTAAAGACAATTAGTGAAGCAAGTATGTGCTATTGAAACAAAAGTGTTTGAAATTTAAAAGCTTAGCAAAAATGAAATTTTAGTTTTTGTTACTTTTACTAAATAAGCATTTAAGTTTTAGAAAAATGTAGGATGAAAAGCGTAAAACATACTGTATATTTTGTGTAAAAATCATATGCAGAAGAATAAAGGATTCATTTTAAATCTCGAGAGTTGTAAAGCTATTTAAAAATCTTTATGGTGTTTATCTTTTCTAAGTTATATTTCAAGAGTTCTATCGTTAAAAAAATCTCTCACAAGCTTGATTTCTTGAACCAAGGATTCTAAAAAGCTTTCTGATTTACTTGGAAACTTACATTTAAATCTATTCTAAAATCTCTTTTATCTATTTATTAAAGCATCAATAGTTCGTTACTAGGGGCTAAGAATAGGGTTGTTGAGGAGAAATCATTCATTATTACACTTTAGAGCCTAAAATGCCATCACGAAATTTTTGTATTAGTGAATGTGCAAATAGTGTCATTTCTTTTTTATTTTGTTAATCAAGACCTTTTTTAAAAATTAAAATTCTTGGTTTCATGCATTTTTATTTTAAATTACAATGAAAGATCAAAGAGGGACAATGGTTGATGTTCATAAAAGCTGATACTGAGAAAAAAAATTTTAAATTCAGAGAAATTTTAAGAGATTAATAACATTAAATAATTTGATTATTACATTAATTGATTTGATTATTACATTAATTTGATTAATAACATTAAAATAAATATATGTTCGTATTCAAATGTTATAAACATTAATTGTATTCCCCTAAAAATTTCAAAGCAAAATTTATAATAATTGATGTTTAGAAAGAAAAAAAAATTAGATTGGACAAGAATGGTTTTTTTCTTCATAATTTCTTTCCATATCAAGAATACTTCACTCATATTACCCTTTGTTTTCTTCATTGTATGTTTCTTTGTTCTTCTTATCTATTTTTGAACATTTCCCCCCAAAACTGCCCATTTTACTTTGCTACAACTTTTGAGAACAGATTTTTAATTTTATTTGTCAAAACTTAGTAATTCTCACAATATGCCCCATGGAGATATAATTGTTATTTTTGTGAAAAATAGACATAAACCATTTCTCTTTGATTTTCTGAAAAAATTGACAGTAAAAGGCAAAGTCTGTAAGAAACGCTTCGTTATAATGCTGCTCTAATGCGAACAGAAAAACAGGAGAAACGAGATAAATAAAAAAAAATTCTCAATTTTTGAAAGAATAGAAAGTGTTGGAAAAAAGAATGAAATAGACTCACTTGAATATAATTAAAAAAGAAATCAGCTTAAACTTATGGTTTAGTATAAAGTTATCTAGTTTCAAAGTTTTACTTTTCTTTGTCTCTCAGAGCATGAAATAACAAGTTTTGGTACTTAACAAATATGTGTAAAAACTATTTCTAATGATGGGTTGTACAAAATACGATTTTAATTTATTCTTTATTAAATCTCTTCAAAATCTCCCTAAAAAACTGAACATTAAATACTTTTCTGAAAAATATTTCCGAATATCTTACAAAATATCAGGCTAACGGAATATCCGTTGCATCCCTACTTAATATTTAGAAAGAAAAAAATTTCTGAATAATAATTGATTTAAATTTAGTTTAAGAACAAGTTTTCTTTCAAATGCAAGAATCTTTTTTTTTTTTTTTTCTTTTAAATGTGTGAAATGCGAGCACTATTGTAACTAAGTATCATTATTTTAGCCCTATAATTAAATTTGATGTCTGCAACACCAATGGTGAAAAATTCCTTTATAATCTTGCAAATAAAACAAAAAGTCCCTCAACATTTTTATCAATGGTTAGTGGAGGGGGGGGGGACACAAAATTTCAAATCCCACCAATGAATGAACGTGCAGTTCTCACAAGGCAAAGTAATTAACAAATTAACAGAGGACTGAAATTACTAATCTTTAATTTTGTGTTACTGACATTTGATTCAGATCACCATAAAATTATTATCGCAGCTCCTTGAACCAGCAATCAATGTAAAGAGATGCTTTGCTGTTTTATTTTTGGCCATGGTTTTTGTCACAAGTTAGCCTATTTCATTATAATTTGTGAATATTACGTTACACTTTCTTCGTTCACAGTTTTTAATTTAAAAACATTTTGTAACTTTTTTTAATAATAATAAAAACTAAGTAACTAAAGTGGGAAATAAATGAGACCAATGAAAGTGAGAACAAACTACATAAATGCCAACGTTCGCTCTTTCTGAGAATGGATTTACCAAATGGTAGTAAAACAAATACTGAAAAACAAATTTACTCAAAAATATATCTATATTTTGACAAGGTTGAAATTTACTATAGCAGAGATTATTATACTTTTATATGTATATTTGTTGTAATAATTTATATATAGTGGTGGTCAAACTCATTTATAATTATTATTGTAGTTCAAAAAGTTTATAAGAATAACATGAATTTCGCCACCACTTTAATTATGAAAATATAATCTTCCAAGAAAACCGGATGTGTTGGCAGCTATAAAACTAGCAATATCTTTTTCAGGGTAGCCACTAACACTCGGAAGAAAAAAAATGTATAACTTCAGGGGTCTGTCCAGGCCGAATTTACTACCGTTTAGCGGTACTTTCACAAATTCAACTTTAGGAAAAACGGTAGTTTCACAAATTCAACTTTAGGAAAAACGGTAGTTTCACAAATTCAATTTTAGGAAAAACGGTAGCTTCACAAAATACTTTTTCTTAAAATTTCATTTTTGTATCCCTTAAGAAACGATAAATTCATATTTTTGTGTTGATTTTTTAATATAATTTTTAATTTTTCACAAATTATGTCTAAATTTTCACAAAATAGGTACCTCTCAGAAAAACCTAGACAAACCCCTGAACTTTTCCTGAATTAATTTAAATGTTCCTTTATGAGTACCCGACTTGTCCCAGATTCAGATCATTTTATGCGCTCTCGTTGTTTACTTAAGGTTAGACAAAAGCCTTTATTAAGTAAAAACTTTGGCTATCAATTTTTTAGATTGAAAATTACTGTGTTTAATTTTTGTTGGGCAAAAGTCTACTTTATGATATAAGTTATGAATTGAACTTATTAACATTAGTTTTCAATTGTCTTTACTGTTCATTTGTTTCAGATTGAGTCTCTCAGATGACACTTTCAAATAGTTTTCTTCTTTTGTATGCTTCTCAAAGTGGTCAGGCTCAAGCCATTGCTGAAGAGATAAAAGAAAAGGCACCTTCATTTGGATTAAAAGCTAGACTATTCTGTCTTAGTTTAACTGATAAAAGGGTAAGTTCCTTAATTATAACTCTAATAATGAAATCTTTAATAATGATTGTGAGCAACACTAACATTAGTATTATGCTGTTCAGATTAACGTTGCATAATTTAATTGATATTTCTCTTTGTTAACTTACAATATGATGAGGTGACAAAGTCATGGGATAGCAATATATAAATATACTGATGGCAGATGGTAGTAGTATTGCATAAAAATTTTTATATTTGGGTAGTGTTCTGGCAGGACTTTTATTTGTGTTAAAGTTATTCATCTGAGAATGTTCCTGATGTAATTATGACCACAAAACAAAAATTAACAGAGTTTGAAAAGGGAATGATTGTTGGAGCTATTATGGAAATCGTGAGGGAATTCATCATCTTAGCGTTAGCAAGTAACATTGCGCAAAATGGCCATGGGCATCAACGTAGGACTTGAAATGGACATGTCTGTTTGGACAGTGCACTGATAGTGACTCCATAATGGTATGGGTTGCTTTTTCATGGCATGGATTGAGTCCTGTGAACCAAGTGCACCAATCATTGACTTTAAATGGTTATATTCAGCTACTTTGAGACCACTTGTAGCCATCCAAGGAATTCATGTACCCAAACAACAATGAAATTTTTATGGATGACTATGCACAATGTCACCGGGCCTTAATTGTTTGTGACTGGTTTGAAGAGCATTTTGGACAATTCCAGTGATTGTTTTGGCTATTTAGACTGTCTGACATGAAACCCATAGAACATTTGTCAGATATAATTAAGTCTTGCACAAAATATTGTTGCTAAATATGGACATACATATGCTAATTATGGAAATTTATTTAGGCTGCATGGCTGAATATTCTTGCAAGAGACTTCCAACTATTTGTTGAGTCCATGCAAAGTACAATTGCATAATTTTGTATAACTAGAAGAGGTCTGACACAGTATTAAGAGGTAATATATGACTTTTGTCACCTCAGTGTGTACCAAGAAATAAGAATTAGATTTTTGTTAGCGACAAAATTAAACCAAGTGCTTATTAATTAAATCACTTCACAAATTTTTTTTAAAGTTTTTTATTAAATGGCGGGCACTTGGGATGTATTGTCCCATTGGCCTCATATGCCAGGACTACTACTCTCTTCTCGTTACCAAGTGGGCACGTTTGGCAAAGCCACGGCGGTGGAGCAGCGTCGCCCATGTCACACAACCACAAACCCGTTTACAGGGCGGGATTCGAACCCGCAACTATCGGCTCCGCAGTCAGGCACGCTGACCACCTGGTCGACACTGCACAAAAAATAAAACATCAAAAAAGAACTCTTAACAAAAATCCAAATATCATAAAAAATCTTTAACCTTACTTTAAAAACAATCCTTTTATCAATTATTATTTTTCTAATATGTAGGATTAATATTTCTTTTTTCTGTATGTATTCTTACAATCCAAAGCTTAATGAATAAAACTAAAACAATACAAATGAAGAACAAATTAGGGTACACAAATAGACAAACTATAGTTTCAGTTAATCTTCTTCAATCGTCAAACGTCAGTCAACGTCAGTCTTGTGCCTTTTTTGTATTTTGACACTGATGAAGGTTCTTGTTTATAGCACTTGTATAATAGCCTGTTGATTACTTTTCCCTTATTTGTAATTTAGTTCACTTGTTTTGATTTTTTTTACATGCTGTGTTTAATTAAAGTTTAGACAATATGAAGAAAGTACAGATAATGCATCATAACTAGATAAATAATGTGATAACTTAAGCTTTATTTTGTAAATTTAAATTATTATTAAAAATGTTTAATTTATTTTATTAAATATTAAGCATAACTTTAACTTGTAAAATACATAAAACCTGCTTTAATTTTTCAAGAATATTACCATTATTTGATATTGATATGTATATAATAAAAAATATTTTAATTATTTACAGTTTCTATGTTATTTTGAAGTATTTATATCAATTCTAAATCTCCAAAATAAATATACAATTCAAAAGCATTTGTAAGTAAGAGATGCATTTTTTTGTTGTGTTATTACTAACATTTTTGTCATGAAAGCAAATAATTTGATTAACACGATTTAAAGTCAGTTGAAAACTTTTTATTTAACTATAACTGTACCAGATTAAATCTGAATGTTAACTTTCATGTTCAATTTTTAGTTTAGTATTGAAAAAGAATCCTGTATTGTATTCATAGTATCCACTACTGGTGACGGAGAACCTCCTGATACAGCTGCAAAATTTTTTAGGAGATTAAATCGACAAACTCTGAAACAAAACTTTTTACAACATCTTAACTATACAATATTAGGTATTTACCCTTTTTCATTCATCTAATTGTTTTTTTTTAAAAAAAAGTGTTTCTAGATACAATATTAAGGAAAATTTACTATTTGTACAATACGCATAATAAAAAGAACATCTTAATAACTTTTGATCTAATGATTGACTTTTCTCATGCTAAGATAAAATTTTAATGATCCAAGAGCCTAACCTTAACAGTGATTCCTCTAGACTTATGAAGTTACAAGTCCTTCTGACCTAGGAAATCCATTTTTCTGTCCATAATCCACTTTTTTTTTTGCAAAAAATTGATCCTGTGAAGGTGTGGTGTGTAAGGGAAAATAAAGGTATGTGGCTAGCTTCTGTATTTAATTTAATTTAACAACATAACTATAGAAACACACACACATACTACATTCACAGACACATCAATATATATATATATATAACGAAAGAAAAGATGTGTGCTGCGTAGCAGGCAGCTTATCGTCCATCCGCTGTCTCATATTCTCTCTCTCTGAGTGTCTCTCACTGGGAGACGCTGCTAGTTTTTAGTATTGCTAGTTTCTTCACAGTCTCTATTTAAAATATGAATTCTCTACCTCTATATTCATCTAATAATACTCACATTTTATTTATTGCTCTTTTTTCTATTAATAGACAGAATTATAAATTTAAAAACAAGAGTTATGTAAGGAGTTATACAAGAGTTATTAAAGCAGTCAATTCTTTTTAATTAAGACTGATAAAATCTAAGAAAAGCAGTAATGTAATTTCATGCTCCGAATTCTCATTTTCTCCTTCAGCTATTAATAAAGAAAATAAGTTTTTTTTATATTAAAATTTTGGTTGGTTTGTCTACAAAAATCTTCACCTGCTGGAGAATTATGCATCTCAAAAGGCAGGTCATAAATTATTATAAACCAGACCTTAAATATGGTAATTAATTTTTTCAAACAATATTTTAAGTTGCAAAATCAGAGAAAATAAATAGAATAGAACAACATACTATTCATATGAAACTTTTTTTGTTGACAGATTTGAATTCTTGGTCATCAAAATATGAAATGTAATAATTGGAAAATATGATTTCAAAAGTTGATGTTCCTTAATAGTCCGTTTGTTTTTTCTGTTTTTGGAACTTACAAAGCACAATCAGAATTTTTTGCACGCAATTATAAAATTAAAAAACTACATGCAAATTACCCAATGATAATTTCATGTAAAAAAATTGTATTTATAATTATTATTTTTATTGTTTAAATTGCTAATACCTAAAAATTTTTTGAATTTTAAAGCAAAAATTTTATCTACTTAGTTTATAATCATAAAATCAAAAATTTTAAGAAAATCAGTGGAATAGTTCTTGAAAAAAAAATTCGCAAATACAAGGCCAAACTTTCAATTGCTCTTCTGTAATTAATCTCTTAATTCTAGGATTGTTACTTTTGTGTATAAAAATGATTGTCACTTATCTAACAGTTTTTAATTTAATTCAACATAAATGTCTTCAAACACAAAAACTACATTATTAAGAAAAAATTCTGTCCTTAGAAGACTAGTCCTAAGAAACTATCTGTCATTAAATTATATAAACATTTTCAAATAATTTGTTGTTTAAGCAATCACTTGTCTGATAAATGAAATAAAAGTATAAGTAATTTGAGAAATATCTTTTTCATTATATTTTCAATTAGGTGCAATAAATTCCTTATAATTTGTCATTCAGATATGCTTTGTTACATGCTTTTTATCAATTTAAAACAGCATCTTTGTGTAGACTATTATAATTTCACTTCTGTTCTGTATATTTAAGACTTATAATAGGTTATTTAGAGTTAAATAAACTGTTCATATATTATTGAAAAATGTTTTGTTACACTCTATCATAATAATGAGTCACCGAATGTGCTGTCTGATAAACCAGAGGTCCCATTTTCTGAGATAAAAATTAATGTTTTTTATGTACTTTTTCAGAGGTGTACCAAAAAGTAGTTTATAGTGTGCGTAAATATATATATTATACACCCCGTGGCAAAATCGCAATGACACGGCGACATTGGCGCAGAACATTACAGAGTTCTTGCAGAAAGATTTTTCTTTTGAAAAGTAAAAAATTTTATTTTTCTTTTCTACAGAAATTGTCATGTAATATTTAAGTCATGCATTTAGATAATCACTTTTTGATGCTCTCAATTTACGCCGATAGTATCGTAAATTGATGTAATTTTTCGATTTAATTTTCGGCAGTTACTGATATTAATTTTCACATGGTTTTTAAATATCCCGATATATTTCAAACAATATGGAAAATTCGAATTGTGCATTTGAGTATTTACTTTTTAAGGCACTGATTCTATAGAATTTTTGGCAGTTATTGCTATTGATTTCTCCGTAGTTTTTGAATCCGATATTTTTTATACGTTATTGTTTATTACATCTCGAAACGAAGCACTCATTTGAGAAATATCTTTTTGAGGAGTCCGATTCGTGTGATTTTGTAGTCGATCTTTTTTTCAGATTTCATGATTTTTATTTTTTATTGTGATGATTATTTATGAATTGCGAAGAAGGAAATAAATAGTGATTTTTTCCCCAACAAAATGTGTGAATATTACCCATAATATATAAATAAAGAATTTTTATTAAAAAAAATTTGATTAGTTTCTTTGTTGTTGTTGTAAACACAGCACGTTTGTTATTTTAAATTAACGTATATGTTTGTTATTATTAAAAGTATCTTGCAGAAAGATATTAGTGCTAGAGTTTTGTTGCAGACTGCTCGAAAAAATTTCGTCCACAGGGTATATATATAATTTCTTTTGTTTTAAGAAATTTCCTGAAGGAACTTTTTCTGTTATAATTTTATTGCTGAAATCTTATTTTCAATGTGAAACCTATTTTATGAAAAACATTTGTTGGTTCACCTTTGTGAAAAACTGCTGGTTGTGGTACACATTACGGACTTGTTCCCCTCTGCCAATATTTTATAGGATTAACTTCTTTTTAAATCAAAAAGTAATCATTAAAAATACATAGTTTTTTAATTTTCAGCTACTGGAATGGGAATTTTTCTCTTAAAGCACTCAACAACCTTGGGAGAAAATTTTATTATACATTCATCACAATAACACTTCTGCTATCTTCTTCTTATATTTTTAAAAATATATATGTGCATTTTATTTTATTAAAACTTACTTAATAAAATATGGGATTTTTTTAACTCTACCTACATATGCTATCTTTGATTCATGTTGATTATGCTGCTGTGTAGAACCTGTGAGACATAATATATTGCTACGGAAAGTTATAAACTGTCAGCAAATAAAGTTATTTTTAAAGAGTATTTAATTAATAAACCAATGACAAAGTTATTGCTCAGGGAGCTTCTCACTGCATACTTTTGATGCCCCTCTGATCGCCGTTGAGAAAAAAGAGAACTTTATTATGAACTTTACAAGGGAAAATGCATTTCCCTAATCTGGTTCTCTTATTTCCTCAACAGCAATGTGTGAACGACATGCTGTGAAAATGGCTCTTTAGTCAGTTTACTGCTTCTCTTTTATTATTTTGTTTGTTTGTAATTTTCTTCTAAAAATGCCGCCACTATCTTTTAAACAATTAATTGTTAGATGAGTCAGCTGCCAGACATGAAAGTGCAATTTCCCCCCCAAGTATTTGATATTTTACTGTTCCAAGCATCTGTTTATAATCTCATTTTGTCTCTTTTTTTTTAATTCAGTGCCAATTTTATTTTGTACATTTTAAATAAATGAATGCCTGTCATAAAATGTAAATAATTAATTGTACTCATTCTTTTAGCTCTAGGAGATTCTAATTATATAAAATTCTGCTTGTTTGGTCGTACACTTGAGAAGCGATTGCAAAACTTATCTGCAAAATCTTTTTATCCTTCTGGCTATGGAGATGATGCTTATGGGTAAAATTAAATTATTTGTATGTATTTTGTAAAGTTATAACCTTTTCTTGAGAAACTGAAGTATTTTGTGGTCAATTTTACTAAGTCTTTCATGTTTGTGTTAATATCTTTATTTTTGTTTAGTAATTTAAACTTATTTGATTAAAACTTTTACTTTCATTCTATTATAGCAAGATTAATATAATGCTATATTTTATGACCTGTTTATTAATGCGATATAACAATTCTTTTGTTAGGTGTCAAAATAACTTATTGAAAATTCTTATTTTTTCGTTTTTGCTTGATTTTCAGTGTGTAACAATTTCATAATTGTAAATATTTGATATTTTAAACAGAGGGACCATCCACAAATTTTACAAAAGTAAACAAAGTTCTTATTTTTTTATCTGATTATTGGTTTCAGGATTTATATGACTCTTGAATAATAATGTATGAAAATAAATGTGGGGTTATATACTTGTTTACTATTCTTAGAAAATAAAACCAAATCTTTTGCAAGGGAGGTAAGTTGTTTCTAAAATTTGAATTGTTCTCTTTGTTCAGTTAATTTAATATGAATTTAGTCGAATTAACAATTCAAAATGTAGAGAAATTTACTTTTAAAAAAATGGGAAACTAATGAGTCATTTACAAATTGATAATTTAAAAAAAAATATTGAAAAGCATTAAAAACTGCTGAAATGCTTTAATTAAAACTCCTTTACAAAATTCCAAGTAGTACTACTATTTTTACAACCTGTTTTACCTTTTTCTCAGGCTTGTAAATTAAAAACAAGAGAAAGGTAATTTACCTGTTTTACCTTTTTCTCATGCTTGTAAATTAAAAACAAGAGAAAGGTAATTAAACTGTTTTGAACTTTTTTATGTTTGCATTGCACAAAATCTTGCATTAGTATCTTTCCTCTATGAGATGAGCCTTCAGACTGCATACATATTGGAAACAGTTGCCCCTGGAATTTAATTATATCTAATCTTTTGCAACATGGCTTGATAATTATAAATGTTCTGCAAGTGTTTCTAAAAATGAACAAAAAACTCACACTTGTTAAATTAATAGATTTTTTTCTTCAAATTATTAATAATTTAATTTAGTAAGCTGAAATTACAGAAAAAAAGAAAGTACCAAACCATGTCTAAATGCCTACTTAAGAAATATTATTAACAGCATTTCAATTTTCATTGAGACTTTGGTGTGAACTGTTTCTTCTGGGACAAGGTCATAAATAGTTCTGTTTTAAATATAAATTATTCCACGGTATGTGTTCCAATTTTGGTCACTTTCTGTTTTAGGTACAGTTGCTACGGCAACGTTTTATTTTCTAAATTGTAGATATAGTGTAAGAATGCTCTTTGTTCATTTAGTAAAGGTGAAGCGCTATAGAAGCATAGCAATTTCATGTTTTTATAGCAATTTTCACCAACATATGCCTTGGGTTCATATTGTGATTATCTGGCAGTTGACAGATCAAATTATAAATTCACTAATTATTTTTGTAGAATTGAAACTGCTGTTGATCCTTGGATTTCCAATCTGTGGCCTGCTTTAAGAAAACAGCTTGGTTTACCTGCTATCTCTGATGAAATACAGACAAATTCTTCTGCAGAGATGAACTCCACTGATTCAGTCACACCCTATTTTCTATCTGACTTATCTTCAGTCATTCCATTATTAAACATTGATGTTGCAAAGTGTCCAAAACTTCCTTCACCAGCTTTCAGTGTTTCATATGAATCAAGCATTTTGGTATACTATTTTTTTTTATCACCCTGTTTACGAATTTAGGTTCATAAAGTATGTTTTTACAAAAAAGGGAATGGAGACCATCCCAATAGCCGGAATGTACTACTGATTCAACATTCCGAAATCCTTTTATAAGCTAGAACATTGTTTAGTCTGAATATTATTACTTTGCATCCTGTAAATCTGAATTCTGCCCTTGAAAAATTATGCTCTTGTACTCATTGTGGCACTGTTTTGTTTTGAGCTGCAATTATATTATTTGATGTGTGTGTGTAATTTATTATAATTTTAAATCACGTGAATTCGATATTAATCAATAGCGTTAAATAATTACAAAATGTTATTATAAGAGAAGTTAGTGGTTTTATAATTGAAGAGCTGTGGAGTAGCAAGTCATGCGACACTTTTATAACTTCCAAAAATCAGATTTAGAAACATGAAGTGTATGTAGAAACAGATAGCTTATTACAAATAATCATTTATTATCTTTTTTAAAGTGCCATTTAATATTTTCTTTCACTGAACACTGTATTAAAAGTTAACAAAATTGAGTTATAATTATAATGTTTAGACTGATATTAGAGCTTGGCATACAAAAAATGTTTTTTTTTTTTTTGCTCTTACCCGCATTTTAAAATGTAGGCACATTACCTGATTTTCTGTTAAATAAATTTAAGAGAGAAGCAGAACCATGATGGATCAGGAGATAGAGTATTCGTCTGCCAATGAAGTGAGCCATGTTCAAATCCCAGCGGTGGCTGGTCAATACAAATTTCGCATTCGGCTCGCACCGACCACAGTGCTGACTTAAAATATTCTCAGTGTTAGGCGGATCATGGGTTAGAGTCCCCTTGCCTTTACGCTAACCTTGGGGGGTCATTGTGGTTTTTCTCTCAGTGTAACACAAATGCGAGTTTTCATCAAGAAGTCTTACACAAAGGCTAATTTCTCCCAGTATTTGATTTAGGAGTTCCCTTGTCTTGTGGATTGGGTTCAAAATTACAAGGCTACGGAGTTGAAAAGTAAAGGCTTTGTAGTTGTGCTGATATTCCTGATAAAATTCAATCTGTGTAGAGACCGAGGGTGTGTGGTATTGGTCCTTGTTAAACTGTTCTACCGTAAAAAGCTCGACATCGTGTGCATGTCGTCGGGCTACCGAAGCTGGTGTGCCACCCCCTATGCAGAGGATCAAAATTGTGATGGCATGTCTTCGGACCATCCTCACGGATGTTTCCCAGACTGTCGCCAATAGCCCATTGTGCAGCTCTAATGCGACGTAATTGAACAATAGCAACTATCTATGATTTTCAGCCAATGCAGCGACAAATAATTTTAGTCGAAATTTTATACTTTCACTATTACTGACTTTTCTTTATCAGCTAATTTTAAAAATTATTGATACCAATTAATAATACAATAGTTATATCATAGATGTTTTTAAATGGTAAATTGAGAGCTCCTCTACTAAATTAATTTTGTGCAAAAATGTTAAGCAGCATATTCACTGTGTTTTCATTACATAATTATTGTAACTCTACTTTAAAACGACTTGATTTAGGAAATTTTGATTAAAATTTAAATTAAATATTGGTACTAGGGAATGTTGATTGATTAAAATGTAACAGTACTGTAAAATGTTTTTACATGGTGATCTCAAACTATAACAAGTTGTTCAGTACTCTATTAATAAAATTATGCTGGGAACTGTAATACTTCCTGTTCTAAATAAAGTAGGGTATTTTAATATTACTAAAATAGTGTATTTTATTATTCTTTTATAATAAAAAGAGAAACTTTCTTTCTTAGTTTGTTGATTGCCTTCTTTAGAAGTAGTCTTATATATGTATACTGTTCTATAAAAGGTCCTGATTTTTTTTTCTTTTTTGAAAAATGTCTCGATTTTTTTCTTTAATCCACTAAAAGATCAGGAAGTAACCAAGATTCAATGTTTCAATTCTGCTTTTTATTGCTATTAGCTGTGTATATAATTGAATGACTTTTCACAACCTAAATTAAATTAATATGGGAGAACTTAAAAAAAAAAAAATCAAACGAAATTTCAAAAATAAGCATGTTAGCAAAAACAATACTTCTTCTTCAAGGGACACATTGCTTGCTAACATGCTGGAGCCTTTCTGTAGTCAGTGTTTCAACCAAAAACTATCTGAGGCCCCTATAATTGGAAGACAAACTAAGAATAAAAATACAATATTTCAAAGATTAAAATAAAAGGAATTCAGAGAAACACAATTACATTTAAAAAATTAAAAAAAACAAAAACACATAAGGTACAATAGTTAGGTACAATAGTTCCTTGAGGCACAATAAGTTTTTAAGTTTGTGTTTTTTTGATATAATTGTGTTTCTTTGAATTTTTGAAGTATTGTGTTTTAATTCTTATTTTGTCTTCCATTATGGGGTCTCAAAGCACAGTCAGTTTTTGATAGAACCACTGACTACAGAAAGGCTCCTGCACGTTAGCAGGGCAGTGTGTCCCCTGAGGAAGTATTGTTTTTGCTGACATGCTTTTTTTTAAAAAAAAAATTTGTTTGATATTTTTCCTATATTAATTTAAATTGTGTACTAAAGACAATTTCGGTTTTATGCTGTTTTTAGCGCTTTTCCATTTTGACTTATTGTATTTAAAAATTTGTTCTTCATTTTTGTTTAATTTCATTTTTATACTTTTAATGGTTTTTACAACTTAATTATGTTTGTACTATGCAGTTCATGCTGCTTGAAATTTTTTCTCCCTGGTAATTTTTGTTTTTTTATGACAGAGTTCAGAAGTTCAATTTATTCCTGATGGTAAAGTTCTTCCTTCTCAAGGCTCTTCATTATCGTCTGTCAATGTTATTGCTGCAAGGAGGTTAACCTGTGGTGAAGATGTAAAACCCACTTTAGAGCTTACGCTGAAATTTGAGGTAGTTGAGTTCATATTTTTAATTTTTGCATGCAGTATTTTGTTAAAATATGGTATGTACATGAAATTAATTTGTCAATAGGCATTTTGAATCTTTAGTGTATATTTTTATAGTCTCTGTAAAAAAAAGTTTAGATATTGATATAAAAGTGAGAAAGAAATGGAAATGTTATCTAAATATAATGGATCGCTACAAAAGAAGAAGTAAAAATATCAAAGCCTGATTGATTACAGGAGGAAACAGCAAAGAATGAAATCACAATAATTAGAAACACTTTAAAGTTTCACCTGGCAATCAAACTGGTTTAATGTCTTTTACATCTGCCTTCCTCACAAGTAATTTGATAGATTTCAGTAGTTTCCTTTGCTTAAATATTAATTTTCGATCACTAATATGCATATTTTTTCTTCTATAATTTTGACAAGGATTCTTAAAACATCTTGTATGAAAGGAATCATCCATGAAATATGTTCTCTGAAAAAGGATATAAAAGGTTTTCATTTTCTTCCTTTCAACATTTTCACAATTCATTCAACCACAGTTAATTTTGGCGTACCGTATGAAAGTACTACCAATCATTTTACATGTTTGATGAAATACCTGCGGATCCTCATGTGTTTCATTGAGCTGGATTTGGTTGAAGGACTTTTGCATTCTTATAAGCTGTATTTTGATCTGGATTCCAGGTTTCATTTTCCGTCCTTTTTAAAAAAGAATCTTCGAATTTTTGTTGATCATGGGGACCAATTAAACATTGCCAAATTTTTTCTGTAATAGCAAAATTAAATTCTATTCTATTTCTCTTGTTAATTTTATCGCTAGTGACGCACTGCCGTCTTCGTTACTGGCAAGCCAGTGTCCTTGCACTATTCTATTTATAGATCAGTACCATAATCTTTGAACTCAACTTGGGGATCATACACTAAATATGTATTTTCATGTAGGCCCAGAGCAGTCAACAATCACAAAGCTTCATTACCTCAAAATTTCCATCACCCTTTAAATTTAATAAAGATAAGAATCAATTGAGATTTTTAATCATTAATTTCTTTTTTACCTGAGGGACCATCCACAAATTGCATAAATTTTTTAAAATTTTATTGTACTTTATTACTTATAAAATTGACATCGCTCTTAAGTTATTTTAACTTAATATACTCTAAAAAAAGAAGAAAATTGAATTTCAGTAAAAATCTAATGTTAATCCAGATTTGTAATTCCAAAAAAATTTAACTCAATGATTAAATTTAACTTAATGATTTAATTAAAAAACAGTTAAAATAAGAAATTCAATTATTTCAGATTTGTTAAACGTTATGAATATAGGGACCATAAAATAATTTACTTCTGACAAAAATGTTTAACCTCAATACTTATTGTATTAACATTCTGAAACTATAGAAAAATTTTTTTAATCATTTTATCCTTTACACATTTTTATAAGTTCAGTATAATCAATAATATTTATCTTATTAATGTTTTGTTGCATATACTTTTGCAAATAAATTTTATTTAAATCTAGAAAGTTCACCTCATAGCTTTTTTAATTATAGTTTACCTAATTATATTTTTTAATTAAAATTATTATTTTTTACGTAATCAAATAAAATAGTTATTAATTGAATCAGTATTGAAATCAAATCAGTATTGAATACCGTAATTTCGCACCATAGTATAGTCCGCAGACCCAATTTAATATTAAAAAAATTTCAAAAAATCGTCAGATAGTCCGCAGACTATACGTCCGAAATTACGTTGCTTTAATACGGCGATATTAATGTATTTTAGAAACAAAGAACTAAGTATAAATACTAGAAAAAAAGTACTTACTTACTAATATACCTTCAGAAATAAAACACTAAATACAAATAAAAAACAATGCTTACTAATTAATCATATTTTAATTAATCACACATTCTACTACATTAACGAAAACCTTCAAAGTTCGATTCATCGGTATCAGAATTAAACAGTTCTAATATATTTTCGGGAAGAGAGTCCGAAAGTTCATTTTCAGCATCACTATCTTCACTGTCAGTGATTTCCTTGCTTTCACTAACAATCCCGGCTTTTATAAATCCCGATCGGATGGTTGACACTTTAACACTTTTCCAGGATTTATTAATAAAAATTTAGGAATAAAAATAATTTATTGAGTGCAAAATTTATCATTGAAAAGGAAAAAATAAAATAAAAAAAAATCAAACGTAGGGGAATCAGAAAAACAAAACTGCAATCTGCTTCATAAAATAATTGTATGTTTAACTTAATAAACAATTCTCCTTTTATTTTTTTTATTATAAAAACACGATTTTTAATTAAAGCAGGAGTGATTCCACATCAAGATAAACTTGCGAATGTTACCACACTTCCAAAGAATCAGAATTTATTCAAAAGAGAAATATTTTACTTTTATTAATCAATGTCAAATAGATAAATATATTTCTCTCTTTCATCTTCTGTTCACTGATATGCCTGTGCAATGCATTTTCCCCACCTCCTCGCAAATCAAACAGAAAACGAAATCAGCTTGCTACTCCTTTGAGTTTGATTGACGCCCTGAAGGAGAAAATAAAGATCTAAAATCTTCAAGGTCGCGGAAGAACTGACATTTCTCTGGGTAAACAGGGAAAAAAATTCTCCCCTTCCTCACATTTTCCTCTACTCTAGTTCAAGGATGAGTCCAATTTCTGCTTTTTTTTTCATATCGTTTTAGTTCAAAATGGCGGGAGAACCGAGCAAAAATTTCCCCCGGATTATCTGGATACACGTGCAGCTATGCTTCAGGCAGAAGGTAGTTCAATAAGAAGAGATGGAATTCACGCTGAAAGAAAAACAAAACTTCCTCACTTGCGGAAAAATGAGGTAATTTTGAGTTTGGCTATCGATTGCAGTAAAATTCGGGAGTTTTTCGAATCAATTCGGTAGGGCGGGAGAATAACTCAAAATTCGGGAGACTTCCGCAAATTGCGGGAGAGTTGGCACGTCTGCGCTTGATGCGCCAGCCTGGATTTTAGGAGCTCTACTTGATGCTACTCATTCGTTCTGCAGTATGCTCAATGGTTTACTATCGATACGATACATACGAATGTTTTCTTGGAATCTCGCACTGTTGTTTATATTTGATCATCGGCAGTTCACGACAGCGTGTTTTTTAAATTTCAGCGATTTTAACCGTGAACAACCAGCGTATTATCTGCACTGGTGGATAGTCCGTAGTTTATAAAATTCGCATTTTAAACACAGATAGTCCGCGGACTATACGCGCGAAATTACGGTACATTTAAAATTTTGCCTAAATTTTTTTTATGGTGTCTAATGTAATCAAGAAAAAGAGTTCTTTGTCAGAAATTGGTTATTTTATCCTGATCTTTTAAAGATTTTCATAATGTTTTTACATTTTGTTTTATTAATTCTTCCTTTCAACATTTTCACAANCAAACTGCTAATGGAAGAATATTTGAAGAAAAAATATTTTAAGATGAAATTAAATAAGTTATTGCCTCATAAGAGAACTAAAGGGATCAATACAGCTGGAGAAAACCTAAAATCTTTAACACAAAATAACATAGTAAATATCACTTTGTGAAAAGCACTACAGGAAATAGCAACCTAAGGATCAAAAAGGAAAAATATTAAAAAGAAATGACAATGGATGCACTGACATGCACTGCAGCTTCATACATAGTTTCATCAGGAGGGCCCCCTTACAAAGTTGCCATGTATCCACTTTAATTTCTTTTTAATATTTTTCTTTTTTGATAGTTGTGTTTGTATTTCTTGTAGTGTTTTTCTCAAGGTGATATTTAGTATGTTATTTTTTGTTAAAGATTTTAGGTTTTTTCCAGCTGTGTTGATTCTTTTAGTTCTCTTATGAGGCAATAACTTATTTAATTTCATCTTAAAATATTTTTTCATCAAATATTCTTCCATTAGCAGTTTGGCGCTGTCACAACTTAGTATTTTATATTGTATATTTTTCCCCTTTGACTTTCATTATTATTGTATTTGTATCTCAAAACATATCCTCATTATGATTTTCTTTAAAAAAAAAAATAAAAAAAAAAAAAGTGCTTATTTTTTGTTGAAAAATTTGGCTACACACCCTGATACAATAGAAGATCTTTATAACACAAACTTTAGAAGTTCAAGCTTTGTCTATTATATAATTTTGTGTTATGTAAATCATTTCACATGTCTCTAAATTTTACCCACTAAACATTAATCGGGAGCAAATTGATCTTAAAATGCTTTTAATTAATTTTTAAACGCAATTATGATATATAAGATACTTAACAACACAAAAATATGGACTTATTTCTTCATTACATTTCTTGACTTAATACAAATTTTTCAATTTTGGTTTACTTAGATTGTGAAATTGTAAAATCTTATAAAATAAATAATGTAAAAAATTAATAAAGTTATATAGATCTACTGTAGTATGAAAGCTTTTTTGACAGATCCTAAAATAGCCCACCCTAGCAATTTTTTAAAATCTCGCCAAAATAGGCTTTTCAAAGATATTTTGAACGTCTGATCAGACAACCAAAATTTTGAAATATGTATATGTATAATTTTTGATAATATGTTTGATAATATGTATGATATGACATTTGATGAATATGTATATGTATAATTTAATATGTATATGTATATGTATAATTTTTGAAATATGTATATGTATTTAATATGTATACCTACTCGAAAATTGAATTTCGTTAGAAAAGAGGTAAAAGGGTTTATTTTTCGCTCTTACTGTTAGAATCATTGTTATTTTTTTCAACCATTATTTTATTTATTACCTTTATTATTAAATTTTTTTGACGTCATCGGTTAAAAATAGCAAGCGAGTGGACTAGTGAGTCATCAGTGTAAATGTAAGTTATTTTTTATTCTAATAAAAAATATTTTAATAAATTTGTAATAACTTAATTTTTTTTTAATAATCAAAAAGCAATGTTGATCCCATTAATAATAGCCAACTTGGCGAGATTTCAAAAAGTTACCAAGGGGTGAGCTATTCTAGGATTTTACTGGATTGTATATACTGGATTATATAATTATACTAAGATTATTAAATATATAAATAATTAAAATTGTATCTACAGTGAAGCAATTAAACATAATATGCTTGGCAGCTAAGTTTACATTTTTCAGTTTCATTATTTCGCTAATTATTTGTAGAATGAATGTATACCATATGAACCTGGTGATTCCTTTGGTTTTGTTTCCCCAAATCCTTCATCTGAAATTAATCAATTGTTAGAAAGGTTTGTAATGCATCGTTTTTATTTTCTGCTTTTTAGATTAACATGTTGGTTTTTTTTTTAAAATTTATGTATTTTTTTATTGTATATTTGATTTTAGGCTTGGTTTGCAAGACATAGCAGATAATATCATCCATTTCAAGTTGACTACAAGCATTAAAAAGAATCTGCCTAGTCATATTCCATCTAATAAATCTCTTAGATTCATATTTTCAAACTGTGTTGAGATTCGATCTATACCAAAAAAGGTATTTTAAAGTTTCTTCTTTTTTAACGAAATATTAGAAATTTTTTATTTTAAATTATGTGCAAAATTACAAATATATCACCCTGAATAACTTTTGGTTTTATGATCAGATTTTTCACTGAATAACAAGTTTATTAGATCAAAAGCGTGACTTGAAATATGCTACTTAATAATATTGATTTATTATGTAACTGAAGCAGGCATAAGAATGTACTTACTCTGAATAATCTTTGTCTCTGTTTTAACAGATATAAATTTTTGACTGTTAAAATATGAACCACAATTTATTCAAAATAGGGTCCAAATAGTTACGACAGAAGAGCTAATGAAAGTTTGGGCCCCTTAATTTTAATTAATATCCCTTTTTACTCCTTATTTTGAAAACTTTCTAAGTGATTAAAAAATTTTTTGCATGTTATGATAAAATTTATTTATCCAAAGAAATTTCTATGCAAAACATAATTTTTCATCGTTATTTATTATTATTTTAGTTAAAAATAGTTGAAAATTTTTTGAATTGTAAGGTATACAAATTTTGACATCATTTTAAAGAATGTAATTTTAAATCGCCAATTGCAATACTTCATAAGAAATTAAATATTAAGCGTCCGAATTTTTTAAATTTTGATAACTAACTAAACTATTCAACCTAGAAGAAAAATATAGTTTGAATAGAAAAGAAACTTTTCGACCTATATTTTTCTTCTTGGTGGAATAACTAGCTTTTTCAATAGTTAACTAAGTTGAGTTGTTAACTTTAAAATTACATAAAATTTAAATTAAATTTAAAATTACATAGTTTATAATGATGACAAACTTTTTATACTTAACAATTGAAAGTTTTTCAATCCTTACTTAGGATAATAATAAAAATTAATTAACTATTAAAAATATTTTTGATATGGAGTTATTTTTTAATAAATTAAATTCATAATTTTGTACAAAATATTTTGATTTTTGCTAAAAAAATTTTCCAATATATTATGCCAAAAGTTAAATTAACATTAAAGGGCTAAAATTTTTGACTGCTCTCCTAACTAAACTATCAGTACCACATCTTGATAGTCAAAAATCTAATCATTCAAAGGAAAAGGTATGTGTATACAAAGAAAGTGTGTTTTTGTGTCTGATTCTGTCACTTAGTTAATATTTAGCACTAATTAATTACCATGTTTGAGGTCCCTCTTTTTCAGATTTGTACTTAGTTTGTGAAAATCCCATCATTGGAACAAAAGTTATTCAATTTGGTACATATATATTTTTATGAATTCTGTATAGCAAGGAAAACAAAAAAAAAATAAAAGGACAACCTGTGTAACTTCAGATATAATAATCGAATTTTCACATACTAACATATTAAGGTTTAATTTTAAAAGTTCGAAAGGTAGATCGTAAATAAGCTATTTCTTTAGTTCAAACAATATTTTTTTAAGTAATAAATTTTCAGAATTTGAAGATCTGTAATTCTAAATGACAAAATTTAAATAGAATGAGGGTAGTCATTCTCTTTGGAAAAAAACAATTAATAAACATCTTATTCTCTAGGAATTCAAAAACAGAACTGGAAAATCTAGAATTCTTAAAGAAATTCACTATCAACTCTGGACGCTCAGTACAACTTTGTCATAAATGTGTTTCAACACACATTTTTTATTCATTATTTTTAAAAATACATTAGTTTAAATTGTGATCTTGTGAAAGTGAGAATTATTTATTATAGAAATTACAATAAGAAAAGTTATTGTGGTATTAATTTTATTTAATTAGAAAAGCATATTGCATAAATAGTGAAGTGCATATAGTATAATTGTCAAACGAATTTAGAATTAGCTGTTCTTTAACTTTTAAAAAGTGAATATTAGTACTAGTACTTTTTTGCTCATCTAAATGCTTGTTTCAGAACTCATTAATAACTTACTATATAAGACTAGTGTATGACTATGATTATGCAGTTATAGTAAGAGCTATGCAATATATGTAATAATCTACACTTTGTTATTTCATTCAATTAGCTCTTATTTTTATCTTATTATTATATTATATTCTTTATCTAAAAAAATGTGTTTGCATTCCATTTTATTAAATTCCTAGCTTTAAAAAATAGTTCTCATTTTTCAGATATTGCTTCGGATTTTAGCTGAATACACTTCTAATCCAGACGAAAAAAACTGCCTTTTATTTCTCAGTAGTACAAATGGATCAAAGTACTATACAGACTGCATAAGAAAACCAAATATATCCATTCTTGATATTTTATTAAATTTTCCAACTTGTTCACCACCTGTAGAAATACTCTTGGGTCTGCATTTTACTAATATATTTTAAAATTTATATGTTTTTTATGTGATCTGAAATTTATTCAATGTTTTTTTCTTTTCTCTGTAGAATATCTTCCAAGTTTGAAACCACGATTTTATTCTGTATCAAGGTAATATTTTTTTTAAAAAGTCTTTTGCCCAAACTGATTAAAGTTGCTTCAGTTATCTAAAATAATGTATAAATATATCATAGAATTTATTTTTGGCCAAAAAAAGTCAGGGAATAATGCTTTTTTTTTTTTTTTTTACCAAACTCGGGAGGAATCCTTTATTAAACTTGAAAAATAACCACTCATAAAATTTAGGGTAATAAGTATTCAATATGGTTCAAAGTAAATGAGTTTAATATCTATTACTTGAAACAAAACTGAAAAGAATGTTTTTAAGAACTTTCAAAATTTATGTTAGCGTTTTAAGCATAAGTTATTTAAATGATAATGTCCTAAAACATTAGAACTATGCATTTTTAAATAATCAGTTTTGTTATTTGCCATTTTTTTCTCTAATAGCTCTCCCCTGGAAGATCCAACAATATTCAGGATTGTTTTCAATGTCATAAAAGTGAAAAGAGGAGAAGGCAGAATGCTTGACAGAGAAGGTGTCTGTACAGGATGGCTAAATAAATTGTCTTCCCAATTTCATTCAGAAGTAGATCTATCAGAGCAATTTTCAAATCTTGAATTGACATCTACCAAGGTATTTATGAGCTTAAAACCAAATATTGTGTTCTGTGTGCATAAAAAGAAGCACGACCCAGAATAACTTTTGATCTAATGATCGGATTTTCACATTTTAGGACTGAATCTTAATGGCTCAATGGGGTGACCTTAAATATGTTAATTAATAAGTGCACATAATATTTTAAATTACGAAATCAGACAGAAAGTGTATTTTCTCTGAATAAACAGACCCTCTTTTTTGATGGTTTCAGATCTTTGACCCCCAAAATATGGGCCCAATAGTTTGGTTAGGAGAGAGGTCCTAAGTTTTGACTTCTTTATGTTAATTTTATTTTACTTTTTGCGTATTTTGCTATGTCTTAAGAACTTTTTAAGTGAAATGAAAACTTTTTGCATACAATTATAAAATTCGTTTATCAAAAAATAATTCCCTGTTAAATGTAACTTAGAGTAAATATTTATTATTTTATTTAATAATGGTGGAAAAAAATCTTGTTGTAAGGTATAAAATTTTTGCATCATTTTAAAGAATATAATTTTACATGGCAAAATACAAAATTTGAGCATAATCGGATGAGTAGTTCCTAAGAAATCGAATTTTAATTATCTGAAGTTTTTAAAATTCAATTTCTCTGGAACTATTCAACTGATTTTGTATTTTGCATGTAAAATTATATTCTCCAAAATGATGCAAAAATTTGCATATCTTAAAATTCAAAATTATTAGGCCATTTTTAAATAAAATAATAAATATTTAATAAAGGTTATTTTTCACATGGAATTATCTTTGGACAAGCAAATTTTATAATTGTAAAGAACTTTTTCAATTTTCTAAAAAAGTTTTTGAGATAAAGTGAAATATGCAAAAAGTAAAATTAACATTAAGGGATTCAAGCTTTAGATCGCTCTCTTTACTAAACAGCGGCTACCCCCTACATCTTGGGGGCCGGAAATCCGAATCCATCAAAAAAAAAGGTATGTTGATTCAGATAATGTACGTTTCTGTGTCTGATTTCATAACTTAAAATATCGTCTCCACTTAATAATTGGAATATTTGTAGGGCACCCTCTCAAGCCTTTAATTTCAGTCCTTGAACGTGAAAACTCAATCATTTTATCAAAAGTTATTCAGGGTGGTTTTTTTTTTCCACACTCTATACAGATTTAGCACAAATGAATTGTCTGGGTTTTTAAATATTTTGACTTGCAAACATATTTCATTCCGTAATACACAAAAGGAAAGAAAAATGTACTACACTATTTTTCTCAGTTACAAATGAAATCTAATCTGTTATCAAGTTTGTGCTATATATTTTATACTTTCACGCTATAAATGGCTTTTAATCATACACAAATGCTTTCTTGAAGTTCTTGTTGCATCTTGTAGACAGTATCTTTTACTAACTTGACTCCATGGTTTGGTCTTAATTAGTCGGGGCTTATATTGTATTTCCCAAATTTGTGGCAACTGATTTATTTTTATACCCTTTAACAATATTTGTGTTTTGTTCTTTCAGACTTCAGTTTATGTTTATAAAAGAACAAGCAACCACTTCCAATTTCCGAGTAATCTGGATACTCCTGTAATTATGGTTGGCCCTGGAACTGGATTAGCTCCCTTCATTGGCTATTTACAACACAGGTAGATATTGTTGTATTCATATTTGTGTTTGTAATTTGTTTATCCCCTTAATAAGAGTAGCAATATGATGCCAGAATAGGTTAATCAAATAATGTGACTTGCTTCCATTTGCATAATGATATTGCATAGAAAAATGAAATGCATTCATAGTTTTGTCATATTAAAATAGTGATTTTATAAATAAATATACAGCTGGAGATACAGCTTTATGTTTCAGTTACTTCATGATAGAATGTATGTACATAAATTATTTCTCAAAAATATATTTCTTTGTAAAAATATTCATCATATATCAGGGTTCCTACGGTCCTTGAGAGTCATTGAAAGTCCTTGAATTTTTAATTGCTAAATTTAGGTCCTTGAAAGTGCTTGAAAAACGTCTTAGGTCCTTGAATTTGTCCAATACTGCCTGCGGCCCTTTTCATAAAACACCCGTGGATCTTTCTCGTTACTTCTGTTTTGTTCCCGAGCTCTCTCACGTGGTTTTTAACGCCACCGTTTCTAACCGGGCCTAGCGTCTTGGTGTCTGCCAAGCGCGCGGAGCACAGCAGACAATCAATGCGTTCGGGGCGACTCCACTTCATCTTCTGTCGCATATGCTTAGATCTTTTTTCTTATCGAAACTGGAATACTCTCGAATTTCGTAACAATATGTACCTTGTAGTTTTCAATAAATTTGCCGTTTTACCATCCGCACTTGTCCTTACGTTTGCGTCATTTCAAAACTTTATTGTAAAGCGTATTCGCAAAGGCACGGCTTCGTATTTGTGTTATGTAGTTTAGACTAGTTATGCCTGGGAAGTCCTATTTTAATCCCCAATGGATGGATAATCAAGCTTATAAAGAATGGATTTTATCGATGCCCGAAAAGAAGTTCAGAGCCAAGTGCCGATTATGCATGAAGGAGATCGATATCGCGAATATGGAAGAATCTGCTCTGAAATCACACATCAAAGAAAGGTAAACGTAAAAGCAGTCTCATGCCCTGCCATCAAGCTTAAATGTGAG